CTCTTCTCTTCACCCACGGGCCCCGCCCGCAAACGTTTCTGCAGGCCACAGCTTGGCCCACAAAGCTTTTTCTATGGGCTTCCGAAGGCAACCTCGGCAGCCGGCAGGCCTGCCCCGGCCTCTCTGTGGCCTGTCCGAAGCCTGCCTCTTCTCTTCACCCACGGGCCCCGCCCGCAAACGTTTCTGCTGGCCCACAAAACTTCTTCTATGGACTTCCGAAGGCAACGTTAGACACCCACGGGCCCCGCCCTCAAAGGCTTCGTGGCCTGTCCGAAGCCTGCCTCTTCTCTTCACCCACGGGCCCCGCCCGCCACGCCTAAGGCTAGAACACCCATCTTCTTTCCGGAGACGGGCAACCACCGGAACGACACTAACGCCTTCAGTTACACATGCTACACTCCTCTTGAAAAGGGGTCGGCGGCACCCGGGCGAAGCCCTTACAATTAATAATAAGTGTGCACTTCCACAGTCGTCCCAGCCTTGCTTGACATCTCTGACTCTGGCCAGGATGGGCTCATTGGGCATAAAATGTCGATCACATCCCGGGATGTGACCAGTCATCCTTGCACGGCAGCATGGCAAACAGCGTCATAGGCGCCTTGACATCTGAGGTGGCGTCCCCAAGCCAGCTTGATTCCTCTTGTATGCCTGGCCAGCCCGGGCTCTCAAACTGATCCACACTACATCAAAGCTTCAACTCAAACGTTCAATTGTAATTGGATAGCACTTTTTCTCTGAAGTCTTTTCGCAAGTATGCCTTGAGAAAAGATCCTTTGACTGCGGCAGATCCGGCCTGGGTTACTTTGGTCAACCACTGGAAGGCCCTTTAAAGACGTTATGCTACATGAACTTGAAGATCCTTCAATCCTGAAAACTGGGAGTCAAACCAATCTCACCTGGACCTTGGGAATGATGCCTTCCTTCTCTGAACCGAGGTCCTGTCAGCCAAACGCTAGTCTACAAATGAAGGGTACCGTTATGTTCCTCACTTCCACACACAACTCCGGCCGAATTGGCTGAATTGACAGGGACACACCGGTCCTGGAAAATGACCTACTGAGCATTTCATTCTTTTGTTTTCATCATTGACTCGCCCTCTTTTGTTTCTCTCTCTCTCTCTCACTCTCTCTGCACCATCACTCTTGAAGCATGACCGATCCAGCTAGTGACGATCACAATGCAATGGCACATTGTTTGTAAAATACGTGTACCAATCTTCTCTTCCCAAAGAAACCACCAGCAACGGATTCAAAAGGGAAGCGTTTGATAGTTTGTCATTACTACACAGTTTCGTTGTGCAAAAAATGTGTGTACAGTGTGAATAATGACATGACATGTTGACAATACATATTTGATCATACTCACTGTGTATATCCTCCCACACTGTGTGCGGCTCTCTGGAAGGCACCCAGCAGTGAGGGCAAGCTAAGGGCCATAGCGTGAGGTCAGACACAGGGAATCAAAAGCTGGCGCTTTAGGGAATCAAAGGTGGGGCGGGGCCCTTTCATTAATACCTGTTTCTTTATAGATATATTTTGGCCCTTTTCTGCTTTGTTCTGAAGCTTGCCGGCCTTAAACAAAGGCCAGCCCTAATCCGTCTAATCCGCGCAAAGCGCGCAATCCACAATCCGGACTATAGTCCGTAATCCTACAGGCCTGCTACCGGGATTGACCAGCATTCGCACGCACTCGCGACCAACCCCTCCCTTTGGCCGTTTCTAAGCTGTTCTGCTGTCACGCGTTGAAAGGCAACGCCTCGAGTTTACGGAATGACTCCGGGCCAAGCACAATCTTCACCAGCCACACGCCACATCACAGACAGACAGACCAGACCAAGACCAAGACCAGACCATACAAACCAGACAAAGACAGAGACCGAGAGACAGGGAGATAAACCTTTAAATACCAATTATCTATTGCTTTGGACTTGGGTCGCACCGTGGCAAGTGTCACCGCATTCCGACGTTGGACAAGAGCCGTCATTTTTCCCGAAAGCATTGCGAAGGGTTCTTCCGGAAAATCCTTTGAACACTGACACTTCGACACTTACACTTCGACACTCACACTTACACACACACACACTGGAAGAGCGAAAGCATCCAAGTGCGAAGTATTCCAGTGTCAAAGTATGCAAGTGTAAGTATGCAAGCGTGATATGCAAGGGTGAGTATGCAAGCATGCAATGACTATGCAAGCAT